GTGGTGCGATCTTGGCTAACTGCAACCTCCACCTCCTGGGTTCAAGCGATTCTCCCACCTCAGCCTCCCGAATAGCTGAAATTACGGGAGGCTGCCACCATGCCAGGCTAATTTTTGTATTTTTAGTAGAGATGATGTTTCACCATGTTGGCCAGGCTGGTCTAGAACTCCTGACCTCAGGTGATCCACCCACCTCTGCCTCCCAAAGTGCTGAGATTATAGGTGTGAGCCACCATGCCCAGCTGTGAATATCTTTGTTAAATCAATAACTTTATTTCTTAGAGCAGTTTTAGGTTCACAGTACAATGGAGAGGAAGGTACAGAGATTTCTCATATGTTCCATGCCTCCCACACCTGCGTAGCCTTCCCCATTGTTAGTATTTTCCACCAGAGTGATACATTTGTTAAAACTGATGAACCTACATCAACACATTGTAATCACTTGAAGTTTATAGGTCACATCAAGCTTCACTCTTGATGCTGTACATTCTGTGAATTTGGACAAAAATGTATAATGATACATATCTATTATTGTAATATTATTGACAGAACAGTTTCACTACCCTAAAAATTCTGTAAAACATGCCTGTTCATTTCTCACTTTCTCCCTGGCAACCATTGATCTTTACTCTGTCTTCTTAATTTTACTTTTTTCAGAAGAGTCATATAGTTGGAATAATACAGTGGATATATTTTTGAATAGTTATTAAAAAAAAAAAAAAGCTCCGTCGCAATTGAATGTAGTCGTTTAAGATGTTCATTGTCCTTTTGTTTTTCTTTTGCTTCTGTTTTTTTTTTGTTTGTTTGTTTTTGAGACGGAGTCTTGCTCTGTCACCAGGCTGGAGTGCAGTGGCCGGATCTCAGCTCACTGCAAGCTCCGCCTCCCGGGTTTACGCCATTCTCCTGCCTCAGCCTCCCGAGTAGCTGGGACTACAGGCGCCCGCCACCTCGCCCAGCTAGTTTTTTTTTTTTTTTGTATTTTATAGTAGAGACGGGGTTTCACTGTGTTAGCCAGGATGGTCTCGATCTCCTGACCTCGTGATCCACCCGTCTCGGCCTCCCAAAGTGCTGGGATTACAGGCTTGAGCCACAGCGCCCGGCCTCTTTTGCTTCTTTATCATTGTAAAGAAAGATATATGCCGATGACGTATGCTTTACATATTTAGAAAACAAGATTGTATAAGTATTTGCCACATAATGGAAAGGATTGAGGAAAAGGACACCATACAGTACCACACAGCACAAACTGGCCTCTTGCTCCGTGAGATGGGTCCAGATAGACTCTCTAGCAATGAAAGGGGACAAGTTCAAGGGATTGTATTTTATAAAACTGGAATCACAAAGTCTTTCTTACTTACCTTCGGTTAGAAATAAGAGCAGACGGTGAATGCTATAGGTAAATAGATAGGTTCCTCACTGATCCTCCTCCTTTGAGGGATGAGTTTGACAACAGGCTAGTATAATGACATGACTCACCTACAACTGGATTCTGTCACGAGGGATGGCAAGAGAGTTTTGCTTTATGTAAGGTGAAAAAGAATTTTTTCCCCTACCGGGGAGAAGGGCAAACATTGGAACATTCTGGTAGTAAAAGGGCACTGATAGAGTTTTCTTTCTATATACTTTTCACATCATATAGTATTGCCTGGCAGCCTGCCATACCTCCCCAGTGTTTCTTAAGCTTCTCTCTGAATGTGAGGTGTGGTTCATAGTGGATAAGCTCTCCAGTATGCTTTTTTATAATATGTACTAGGGTGACTAGCAACAGAAACATTAGCAGAATATTCTTTCCTTACTACTTTTCAAGTATATGCATTCTTTTGAAGATGTTGAAGTGAGAAATTAAATATCTGAGAACTAGAAAGGAAAAATAATCCAGAACATAGAAATGTTATTAGGATAATAAACAACATATGAAGAGGTAGATCACAGGATGAACTTTTTATTTTTTAACAAAATGAATTTTAAGATAAATGTCTTTATCTGCAGAGGCACCTTAAAGCAAGAAAATGAACAAAAAAAAATGTTGATATGCTGTACAAAAAAAGTAGAGAAGAATTCGAAAGGAAAGGGAATGTGTGTATATGTATGTATAGGTGTGTGTATGTGTTTGTGGCATCTTTGATTATTAAAAATGAGGAAAGTATTTTCTAACTGGTAGACAGTCTTTTAGAATGGTGATTTTGAGACTTTGTGATATTAAGGTTTTTGAAACATGATTGCATAGAGGCTACCGACATCATAAATTGGTTGTTTTTCATCTCAATGCCCTTTTGAAATCTTTAACTATATTGTGATGTCCAGAAATAATGTGCAGAATTTGTATCTGTGTCCTAAAATGGTATGTGAGTGGTTATACACTTTACATACCTCTCTGCCACTTTCTTTGGTGTACGTTGTATTATATCTTCCAGGTGTATCCAGAGTGATATGAGTATCTCTGGTTTAATTCATTTTACACTTTTCATTGTATTCCCTTAGACCACTTTAGCACATTTAGACTCTCCTGTTGCTGGTAAATGAAGAAAGAGATAAAAACAAATATAATGTCAGATTAAAAAGGCTTTTATTCAATCAGTTTGTATCTACTCATGTTTACTATATGAGAGTTTAAAGCTGAAAAATTCAGAATGCAAGCATGCACCACCATATTTTATAAATGCCCTTAGAACTATGACTCACGAGCCTTTAGCCTCTGAAGTTAAGACAATTCATTTCTCTGAAGAAGATTGCTGTGCTCTTCTCAGAAAAGAAAACAGAAAAGAGCAAATGGCATTGTCTTACTTGACCTCTTGGACATCCTTGAATGAAACTGAAACTCCGGGGATACTCAGATCAAAATTTAGAACTAATGTTTTGAGTAACATATATAGTTTGTGAACATTTGGTGATGATGAGGCCTTGGTGGTGAAATGAACGTTCAAGTTTCACTTTGGCATTTTTTGCTCTTTTCCTTGACTTGTCTTAAAAGCTTAAATTCAACAGTTTTATTTATACAGAAACCAGGAATATAACTTGTTGAATATATTTCTGTCCTGTCTCACAGCATTGTATATGTTTCAGATCTCGTGTGAACTAGACTTGTTCTTATATGGGAACAATTAGGTTTCTTGTTTGTTTGTTTGTGTTTTTGAGACAGAGTCTTGCTCTGTCACCCAGGCTGGAGTGCAGTGGCTCAGACTTGGCTCATTACAACCTCTGCCTCGAGTTCAAGCAGCTCTCCTCCTCAGCCCCTCGAGTAGCTGATCCCACATGCATGTGCAACCACAGCCCGCTAACTTTTCCTTTTTTTTTTTGAGACGGAGTCTCGCTCTGTCGCCCAGGCTGGAGTGCAGTGGCCGGATCTCAGCTCACTGCAAGCTCCGCCTCCCGGGTTCACGCCATTCTCCTGCCTCAGCCTCCCGAGTAGCTGGGACTACAGGCGCCTGCCACCTTGCCCGGCTAGTTTTTTGTATTTTTCAGTATAGACGGGGTTTCACCGTGTTAGCCAGGATGGTCTCCATCTCCTGATCTCGTGATCCACCCGTCTCGGCCTCCCAAAGTGCTGGGATTACAGGCTTGAGCCACCGCGCCCGGCCAACTTTTCCATTTTTATTAGAGATGGGGTTTCACCAAGTTGGCCAGGGTGCTCTCCAACTCCTGACCGCAGGTGATCTGCCCAACTCAGCTTTCCAATGTGCTGGGATGACACAGGGGAGCCGCTGTGCAACAAAGAAGATTTTTAAGGCTATTATATTTTATACAAATCTATGGTCTATATTTAAGGCTTAACATATGAATTCTGAAGGTATTCATGCATTGAGGAAAGATCATCTCAGTTTAATGAAAGTAGTTTTTAATTTAATGTATATTCATTAAAATATCTTTTGGAGATTTTGTCTCTAGTACACGAAAACACACAATAATGTCAAGGCTATTTAACCTTAATGTGTTTATGCACAAAGTTATTCAAATATTTTCTTATCTCTGGAGAGATAAGAAAATATTTGATAAGATTACTAATAAACAAATTTCTCATAGCAAAATATATAATAGACATCATTGAGTGATTCAAAGTAAATTGTAGTAAATGACAAAAGCTTAGTACAAAGTGCGAGACTCTAGTTAAGTAAACTTGTCTGAGTTAATAGCAATTACAGGACTTGTAACATTAGACCTTGAAGGAGTAGTGTGTTTGTGGGGGTAGAGGTCAATATGGTACTGCTTCAGTGAAGAAGTAAACGTTATACTTTAGTACAATTTGCATTACTATTTACATCGTAGTAAATAAAACCTTTATTTTCAGATATTTTAGATTATATTTCTACTACTTGAACCATCAATAGTAAGACTTTCCAAAAATTTGGGAAGCTGTGCGATGATGATACCTATCTATCGCCCTAAGTGTTCAAAAACCAGACAGCAACGACAGACTTTGGACACACGAACTTCATAGTTAAAGAAAGGATTAATCTTGGAGCTGTGTTTCTATCAGGGAATTATACTCTTCATTACCTGTGTGAATCACAGCTTTTGAGTAGAAAGAGCAAAGAAGGGAAAGAAGCATAGAAAACTTTATTCTAGATTCCTTCAATTGTCTTCATGCTACCATAATTCTGAGTTGTAAAAAATCATTTTGTGATCAAATGTAGTTTGTCTTTACTCCCCTTATGCAGTCTATAACCAAACAGAATGCTTATTAGCAAAGCATTTGTATTCTTCCTGTAAGGAAAGCAACATATAGATAACAAAGAGAATGAGGAGAAAGAGGAATCTCATTGAGATTACCATTGAACATAAATTGGAGCGTGGGTACCATGGGGCTGGATGGGAAAACCATGTAGACGTCTACAGATTTCCTACTCAAACACAGTGTGGCTCTGATTTATTTTTACATCTCCCATTTTGCAATTATTAAGTACGACTATATGCAGTGTCACTGAAAATACCTTCTGAAACCAAATATTAAATAATGTCTATGGCTTTCTGTACTAGAATATTGATTTTCCCAATATTTATAGGGACTGTTGAACATTTGCCTTGTGGTGTCTCCTCAGCTGTCCTCACACATTCCATCACCTTGTCTTAATGGATGATCGTGCACTAGGAGTACGGGTTTTCAGCAGAGCTGTATCACTTAAAGGTAACACACGAGCATCAAATTTATTTCTGTGAGAACACCCAGTCTATTGATTACCTGCAGCTACTATGGGGTCTACTACATACAAGTTAAATTCAGTGCCCTTAGTCATATGCTTAGATGAGCAGTAATAAATTATACAATATTTTTTCACCCCTATAGTATTAATTTCTTTTTCCTCTTATGTCTAGAATTAACATTTTGTTGTACAAAACGTGATGATAACCTTCTAGAGTAGTGATGGCAAGCCATAAATCCAAAGTTTCTTACCCACGCAAATGGCTTGTTTGCTTCTATTATCTCATGAGCTTGGTAGATCCAGGAAGCAGAACTTTTAAAACAAAATCCCCAGATGTGGCCGGGTGTGGTGGCTCGTGCCTGTAATCCCAGCAGTTTGGGAGGCCGAGGTGGGCAGATAACCTGAGGTTGGGAGTTTGAGACCATCCTGAGCAACCTAGAGTAACCCATCTCTACTAAAAATATAAAAGTAGCTGGGCATGGTGGCACACGCCTGCAATCCCATTTACTCTGCAGGCTGAGGCAGGAGAATAGCTTGAATCCGAGAGGCAGAGGTTGCGGAGAGCTGGGATCCCACCATTGCACTTCAGCCTGGGCAGCAAGAATGAAACTCCATCTCAAACAACAACAGCAACAACAAGAACAACAGCTGCAGCCACAAAACCCAAATGCATTTTCTCGGCACAGTAAAACTGAAACAGAAAAAGTATAAAGTAAATACAAGTAACTGAAACAGTTTGTTTTACTTCTTATTTGATAACTTTTGTAAAGTAATGAACAGAATGTATTTCTCCAGGGACCCAGATATACACATGTGTTCATTCAATAAAAATTCATTCTTATAATGGGCACTGATACTTACATTCTAAATATTTCTAAAAACGTCTCCTCAGGCCTGCAGCATCTTTGCAACATTGCCTTATATTTTATCCTTGTTCATTTATTTATATGCCTCAGAATTTTATGCTCCTCACAGTATTTAGAGTTAATTATCTCGAATGCAAAGAGATCTGTGAACCACTCCTGAATACCTAAGGTCCAAGCATCTTAAAGGTTTATATAAGGTTTTCAGAAAGTACATCCTGGGTTGGGCACGGTGGCTCATGTCTGTAATCCCAGCACCTTGGGAGGCTGTGGTGGGTGGATCATTTGAGATCAGGAGTTCGAGACCAGCCTGGCCAACATGCTGAAACCCCATCTCTACTAAACATACAAACATTAGCAGGCAGTACTGGCACGTGCATGTAATTTCAGCTATCTGGGAGGATGAGGCAGGAGAACTGCTTGAAGCTGGGAGGCCGGGTTGCGGTGAGCCGAGATCATGCCCCACTGCATTCCAGTCTGGGAAACAGAGTAAGACCATGTCTCAAAAAAAGAAAAAAAGAAACTGACTTCTGCCCAAATCTCCATCCGTAGCCCTTTCCCCATCTGTCTTTTTTTCTGGAATTACTGAGCTGCAGGTAATGCCCCCCTCACCATTCCTCTTTTGTAGAGAAATAGATACGCTCTTGGAGGCTTCTCTCCCTCTCTTGTTGCTGCCTGGCATGTGCTCACCTTTCCTGCCCTCTGCCTGATTGAATCTGGCTAACATCACTCTAAGCCTCAGCTCATGCATGATCTTTAGGAAAGCCATCCCTCACAGCGTATATTTATCGTCCTTATACCCCAGTGCCTAACACTTGACAGGAGCTCAATAACTAATGATTTAGCAAAGTTAAGACTGTTTATAGAAAGATGATTCAAAAGATTGTCTTCTACAGTCTAGCAGCAAAGGGGATGGACATCTAAAGACATGATGTGCAGTTCAGGTGGTAAAGTGACACTAGAAAAATTGACAGAGTACTAAGGGAGCCCCAAGAAGCAGACACCTGTGTATGTGGCTCAAGATAGCTAGAATCAAGGAAGACTTCACATAGCATTCCGAGCCTTTTTTTTTTTTTTTTTTTTTTTTTTTTCTGTTGCTGGAGACAAGTTCTTACTCTGTCTCCCAGGGTGGAGTGTAATGGCATGGCTGAGACTCCCTGCAACCTCAAACTCCTAGGCTCAAGGGATCTTCTCACCTAAACTTCTTGAGTAGCTGGGACTACAGGCACATATCACCATGCCTGTGTAATTTTTTGTAGAGTCAAGGTTTAGCTGTGGTTCCTAGGCTTGTCTTAAGCTCTTGACCTCAAGCAATTCTCCCTTTTTGGCCTTCCAAAGTGCTGGGATTACAGATATGAACTATTATGCCCAGCCTACTTTCTGGGTCTTAAAAGATGAAAATAAATTTCTCAGAATAGTAGAATATTTGCAATGTAAAAACATGGGGTGCACACTAATTAATGTATAAACAGCAATGATTTTGCAAATTATTAGTAACTGCCAGCTCAGTTAGTGTTTTGTTAAAAAGATACTATTAGGAAGTACAGTAAAGTGTTACATTGTATATTTTGACTGTATTTTAAAATTTTGTTTCCAACACTTTTGTTTATTTATGTTGGGTGGAACAATTTGTGAGTGACCCTGAGACAGTGCATGGCTTGAACCTGGTGATATCTAGTGTCTGCCTAAGTGGTTTGTTGAAGTTTTGGATAATTAAAAGTATTTCTTAAATAAGTAAATATTTCAGTAAACATTAAACTTCCTTTAAACTCTTAAATATAAAATACAAAGAAATCTTATTCTCTATTTTTATGAGGATTAGAGTATTTAACTGTTCTTAGTTCATTTGAACTCAACCTACGAATTTTTCAACAGAACAAGGCTTACTAGTGGCTTCAGAGGAAGAGCGAGAAAGGCTTGAAAGAAGTGAAAAGAACAACCACAGGTATATAAATATTTAAGTTTCGGGTTTCATATTAGCTTTTTTTTTTTTTTTTTTTTTGCTTTAGCAACAAAGCATAGTCCAAATGACACAACCTTTTAGAATCCATCTTTCGAATCCAATAAATCAAAATTTTATATTTAATTTTTAAAACATGTTAACCAGTTATGAAACTTAACATATTCCTACCATCTGTAGTAACTCATAGCTCTCTTTCCCCTTGGAATTAAGGCAAGACATTTCCAGAATTATCTTGCTTTTTCATTTTTATATCCTTACTCACAATACAGAGGGTAACATAAAATATTGAGTCATATTACTAAGGAAGAGAAATTATGAACAATTTACAAATGATGGCCACTGAGTTAAACTAATGTTAAAGGAGTCATCATTGCCAGTGGTTCAAATGTTGCAGTTTTATATTGCTGGTCACCAGTGCCGAGTTTGAGGATTTCTTCTGTTTTGTGGTTGTCAGTTGACTTTGGTGTCTGCGTTCAGGGAATGAATGGGGTCATAAAAGTCAACCCAGTTGCCTATTAAGAGAATTATACCTTCCAGAATGGGACCATTGGTGTCAGGGTACAAGCAATCACTTTATTTCAACATAAATAAGTGGTAATATTACCAAAATTTTAAAAATCCGTCCACTATCACTAGTGGAATGTAAACTCAATTGGAAGTGGATACAAGCAGAAAATCTCTCTAGATACATAGCACTATGGTAGTATATCATATGAATTAGAATTTAAAATTTTGCTTCCCTTTCTGATTGGTGTTCAGTTTGGCTCTTAATAATTTAGTGTTTGCCTAGTCTCTAATCTTCTAATCTTCAGAGATATAAATGCACTGTAGGGGCTCACCGGTATGCTGAGGTAAAATCTTGTCAAGAGAGGAAGCTTTTGTAATTCCACATATCATCTTTGAATTCAATTCTGGTAGGTTTAACACATAATGAATTAAGTTTAGTCCAAACAAACACTGAGAGTTTCAGCTTGCCGGTTCATGTTTTTCTCTTATGTTAAGCCAAGGCAAATTGTTTCACTTTTTAGTTATGATCCTGTCATTTAAGAGTAGCAACACATAGATTAAGTTTCACAGTTAAATTTTAATGATTTTCTAATATTTCTTGGTTTACACGTGATTAAAGTTAATGTTAAAACATGCACTCTGACAGAAAATATATCTGAGAAAGAAAACAAGAAAATTGGTGTTCAACTTTTGCACCTGTGGAAAAAGAAAGTCTCAAGAACCAGAGCCTCGTAGGAATTGTGATAAAGGGAATGTATCTGTATGTTCAGTACTTCCTTTAAAATTCATTACAAAGAAGTTCAAGCTGAATATTGGTAAGTTTTGAAAACGCCACAATTTCTGCTTGCCCTGAGGGAAGAGCTCCTACATAGTAACTCTAAAGAGGGACGAACTTAAAGGCAGTTCCCTCTAATCTGATGAATCATATCCCAGGTTGTGAGGAGGAGATGCATCTGGAGGGTCTAACTCTGTGGCATTCCAGGCAGCACCTGAACAGAGGTGTCAGAGCCCATGTCAAATGTCTTCTCCTTCTATTCACACTTCAGGTCCCTGAAATATACTTAGCAATTATGTTCTGAGCTTCATTGAAATGAAAATAAACCAGACTCTAAAACTGTTAACAAACCAGACACATAGCTTGTTTCTAACAGAGATGAAGAAAACTTTTGTAATGATAAAAATTAAGGAACCCAGTAATTATGATTGAAAGAAAGAGATTTGAGTTTAACATGCAAATGGCAAAAAATAGAAAGCCAAATACCACTAATTGGAAATTAGACGTTAGGCATTGGCCTCAGTCTAGAGATCCTAAAAGTCTTTTTGATTTGTGGTTTACACACCCCAAAGCAATGAAGCGTATGATTCAGATAGAAAGCCACAGTAAATCTGCTGTTACAGATATGTATAAAAACAGAAAACCAATACAGTGCTTGTTCCAGAAGCCACGATATGACAATCCCAGTGCTAATAACTACAAAAGCATGAATCTTGAATTATAAAATGTGAGTTATTCTCTACCACATAGTGAGAGAACATAAAAAGTATAGCTAGAAGACTTACAGCAAGATATTCCAAGATTTAAGGATGAGGTAGGCAAGCTACAAGTAGAGTTCCTGGCTTTGGGGATAGAGACAGTTCCATGTCAAAAGACAGAGGTTCACTTGCTGCTTCTCTTTTCTCTCTTTATCGATTATTTGATTCCGTCTAATTTTCTATTCAAGAAAATCTCATGTGTACAGTTACAGGGGGTTATCTAAATGTGTAATTATGTGTCAAAGTAGATTAGTTCTGCGATCTAAATAAGGGTTCTGGAGAATGTTCTCATAATATTTGTTCATTAATCAACCTAAATCTCACTATCAGTCTTCCAAGTGGCATATGAGCTGGGAAATGAATTCAGCCATATACCATGTGACCTTCTGAACCAGAGAAACAAAGAAATTGCTGAAGAAACAAGCTCTAGATTCTAGATTCTTTTTTCTGTATTCATTTAGATATGAATTACATTTCTTTAATGATAGAATGAGAATACAATGGGAGGGAAGCAAGAAATGAGTCAGAAGAGCCAGAAAAGCACATCTAGCCTTGAGAGTTGGAATGAATATTCCCAGCCAAAGGAGTCTGTTTAATGTGTTTTCATGCATGCGAGTTTATCTGCTTAGCTCAAACTGTTTGAACTTACAGTCCCATCACGGTTATTTCAAATATTTTTGAAAACAAATATATACTTCCACATATTTAAAAAAATTACCACTCTCCAATATTTCTGTTGAATCAGACCTTTATGGTATGTTGTTTAATAAAGTATGGTAAGTTGTGACATGTATGATTTTTATCATGTAAGAAGCATAACTTCTCAGCCAAAAAATTAGCATTTGACTCTTTAGTAGAAAGTTGAGTTCTGTACCCTGTGTTCTAACAGAAACTCAGGGTTGACAACAATCTGGAGGTTTACTTCATTCAAAGTAAAGCAGATGAGGCCTTTTTCCACCCTCTGAGGCATCAAATGGCTTTGCTTAAGTTAGACTTTTAATATATCTGACTAATTTGATACATTTATTTGGTAATTTATGGAATTCAGCAATATGGAATTGTGTCATGTTATTTGATGCCATGAAATGCTAGGGAATGCCACCTGAGGAGCTTTGGATGAAACATTTAATATGTCTTGGCTGGTTTGACTCCCGTTATCAGTAGATAATGGGGCTAAAGTAGGTAACTGTACCATATGTTTTCCACCTATAAACTTTTGTGGTAACTGAATGTGAAATCTGGGAATCATCTCATTTTCCAGAATTCTGCCCTAGAAACTCAGCAATTTCACTCTGCTTTTTGTGTTGTGGCAGCTTTTGTTCCTATAGTTCAGGGAATACCTTTGCTTTTTTGATGTCCCAGGATTCAAATGAAAAAAAGAAAAAAACAAGAGAGATAAAAGGCAGTGGGGAAAAGAATAGCTTTGTGCAGAAAAGGGAAAGCTGCTTTTCTGTTCCTGAGGCCCTACAAGGTCACAGCCTCTTAATCTGGCTATTTCGTGTAAAATCCAGGTGGTAAAAACAGAAGACATATGTTGCGTGTGTGTCTTTCTATTTCTCTGTTTCTGCCAGTCAGATAGCATAAAAATGTGTATCAGGGAGCAAAGAGTGGATGGGAATAAAAGCACGAAATGGAGAAGAGCCCGTTTTGAAATTTTGAAATATTCTTCTATTCACTCAAACAGAAATAAGCAGACTTTAAAAAAGTTTCAATGATGAAATCGTAAGAATATCTTATGATTATGATGATTATGTAAAATGATAAAATTAAATTAAGCACACAATATTTTTATGATGAAGATGGTGACAGTTAACCTGAATCAAGTGGGAAAAAGTTACTTTTATTGAATAAAATGATGATGATTATTATTTAAAAAGTATATAATTATTATTATTAAAAGTAATAAAAATATTACTTGTATTAAATGTCAAAGAAGGAAATAATACAAACAAAAGTGAAAAATACAAATATCAGAAAAACTATGTGATAGTCCATTTTCTGCTGCTGCTGACAGATTAACCCAACAAACAATGATTAGTAACACATATCCTTAGCAATTTCCCAAGAAGCTGAAGGAAGAGCATGATAGGTAAGCCTATTGTTTGTTTGTTCGTTATGTTTTTTGGTATTGAGATGGAATTTCTCTCATTGCCCAAGCTCGAGTGGAATGGTATGATCTCAGTTCCCTGCAACCTCTGCCTCCCGGGTTCAAGCGATTCTCCTGCCTCAGCCTCCACAGTAGCTGGGACTGCAGGCATGTGCCAGTATGCCTGGCTGATATTTTGTATTTTTAGTAGACATGGCGTTTCACCACGTTAGCCAGGCTGGTCTCGAACTCCTGATCTCAGGTGTTCTGCCCATCTCGGCCTCGCAAAATGCTGTTTACAGGAGTGAGCGACCATGCCTGATCGCCTATAGCGGTATTTAGCAGCAGATAATTGTCATTGTGCTATAAACTAATTCAAACTTGAACTAATATTCTTTGATTAACAAGTTTTATACTATTACCAGGGATATTTAGCCCTGTCTGGTCATCAGAAAAATGCAAATGAACCTAAAATAAGATACATTTTTTAAGGTCATGCTGATATATAAAAGGTAATTACTAGTGTTGGCAAATGTGAGGAAAAAGGCATTCTCATACACGTCGGTATATGAAATTGGTAAATTATTTCTGAAGGGTAACTTAGTGCTGTGTATCAAAATTTCAAATAACCTGACGTCGCTTTAACTCGACAACTTCCTTCTGGAACTAGATTTCCCAGGAAAACATAACTTGTGTAAACAGACCCACACTTATTAAGGGTATTAATTATGTATTGCACATAATGAACAATAGGCCAATAAATACATAAAATGGATGTAATAACAGGGTGAATTGAAGGTATTAAGAAAGAAATATGAAAAGTGTGGAGATGTTAGACTCTTTAGACTAGTTTTGGATTACAGTCATCTGCAGAGTTTGTGTGAAAGACATCTGAAGGTGCCATCTTACACTGTCAATCATTTGGGGAGATACCTGCAATGTTTCATAAAGATTCAAATTGATGCTTGTCAGTAAATAGTAACTTTAAAAAATCAGTTAATTGTAAATGATCTTTTTAAATTCGGGAGTAATTATGACTGCATGATTAGAAAGTTAATTTTGAACTTCTAACTTTCCTGAATAATCTCCAGTATGCTTTTTTATAATATGTACTAGGGTGACTAGCAACAGAAACATTAGCAGAATATTCTCTCCTTACTACTTTTCAAGTATATGCATTCTTCTGAAGATGTTGAAGTGAGAAATTAAATATCTGAGAACTAGAAAGGAAAAATAGTCCAGAACATAGAAATGTTATTAGGATAATAAGCAACATATGAAGAGGTAGATCGCAGGATGAACTTTTTATTTTTTAACAAAATGAATTTTAAGATAAATGTCTTTATCTGCAGACGCACTTTAAAGCAAGAAAATGAAGAAAAAACAAATGTTGATATGCTGTACAAAAAAGCGTAGAGAAGAATTCGAAAGGAAAGAGAAACCATGTAAGAAAGAAGTTGAAGCAAAACAACTTGGACCAACTGTTCAATCACGAGAGATGAAACCGGAGACTCTCAGAAGTACTCCAAATCAGGTAAATCAATCTGTGGTAAAAATTCTAGAGTTTAAACTTCATTTTATCAGTCTTGCTTATAATATCCACTTGGTTTCATATATACGATTTAGGTCGAAAACAAACCAGAAATGTTGTCTCATTTTTAAAAATGAATGACGACACTTACAGGTACAATTATTAATATTTATTATAAATCTTGACATCCACATAGAAAATTATTTTATTACAAAGAGCTTTTGCAAACAATAATATGCCATAATATATACTTAGTGATAAAAATTGTGTTCCCAGTAAAATGGTTCCTTTTACTTTCCCCTCTTTCATACTGATTACTGCACCTAATGTGAAAAAGAAGAAACAGAAATTATTTCAATCACAAATAATCTCGTGATATTCGAAGAAGAGTTCTATAAATTTTATCTTATTTACGATGAGTGTTTTGAAATAAAAGCTGTCTTTTGTATTGATATATTTACATCACAGAAATCATTGCTATCTGTTGGAAAACTAGAAGCAGAGTCAGAAGTCCTGGGGAAAACACTGTAGCTTGCTTATATTTTTAACCTTTCTTTTTCAAAATTGAGGTGACTAGATGAGTTCATCAATGAATGTATACAGGAGTGACTAGTATAAGGTCTAGATTTATGAGTTAGTAAAATGTAATTCTTATAACAGATGATAAAAGTGTTAAAAGAGTCTAATTACAGTCCAATATTATCAGTGAAATGGAACTGTAATAACTTTGGGAAATTTTATCTGTCCAAATACGTGTGAACTAAGGTTCTTACTGTAGGGTGGTGTATGGGTTAGCTATCAAAATGTAAATGCCATTTTTTGGATATATTTTAATTTAGTCAAATTTGTTAACGCTTTAATTTCTGCTTTTGGGTTTGTTGTAATTCAGGGAAAGGCTTTTCCAATTCTGATACTGTGAAATATCCGGTGTGTGTGAGTGCGTGCATGTGTGTGTGTGTTTACTTTTCTAAATTAATTGACTTTAAATACATTTCTGAACTTCTTGAAATTTATGCTCTCCAAGGTTCAAAGTTTTGTTTCAACTTTTTCTCCAGTTCTACATCCACTTACAGTAACCTTGTTAGTGTGTGGATGTGCAGGTTATTTATTAACTTCAGAGGTAATCATGATATGTTATTTCATTGGGTACTAGCTAAAACTTTCTTTCCTTTTACTTAGGATTTTCATAATCAAGAAGAAATGAAAGATCTGATGGGTGAAAATTGCATTTTGAAGACAAGTATTGCTGTACTCAGGCAGGAAATATGCACAATGAAAAATGACAACCTGGAAAAAGAAAGTAAATATCGTAAGGACATTAAAATTGTTAAAGACATAAACGCTGCCCTTGAAAAAAGTATAAAACTCAATGAGGAAATGATAATAAAAACAGCATTCCAGTATCAACAAGAGCTTAGTGACCTCAAGACTGAGAATACAAGGCTCAATTCCAAACCGTTGAAGGAAAAAGAAAGCAAGGAAAGACTGCAAGCTGAAATAGAATCTTATCAGTCTAGACTGTCTGCTGCTATAAGTAAACACGGTGAAAGTATGAAAACAGAAAGAAACCTAAGACTCCCTTTAGAGAGAACTACAAGACGTTTCTCTACAAGTAAAAATGAGTTCTGATACTTCCAAAGTAGAAGATAAGAATGAGTTTCTTACTGAACAACGTTCTAAAAGGCAAATTAAATTCAATACCTTAAAAGACAAGTTTCATAAGACAAGAGATACTCTCAGAAAAAATTCACTGTCTTCAGAAACTGTACAAAACTACCTAAGCCAAACACAGCAGCAAATAAAAGAAATGAAAAAGATGTATCAAAATGCAGGAGCTAAGGTGAGTAAATCCACTGGAAAGTGGAACTGTGTAGAAGAGAAGATATGTCAACTCCCAGGTGAAAACTCGTGGCTTGAGCAGCAACTAGATGATGTTCATCAGAAAGATAATCATAGAGAGATAGTGATTAATAGTCAAGAGTAGTTTGTCTCTCCTCTCATTTTTTTTTTGTTTGTTTTCATATGGCTTTTCTCCCCTGAAAAGTCTCATGTAGTTAACCTGATCTGTTAGTTTTTTTCGCTAAGTATGTTTGAAGTTTTTTAATTAGTAAAGTGATCTTGTTATAAGATTACTTGTCAGAATTTCCCTAAATAGAAGTATTAACGATTTTAATTTATTTTTTGGTAGATCACAGCCTAAGCCCAAAGTGTCAAGTGGTACTGCTACTCTGGGCACAATTGTTTTTGTCTGTGATCTTTAGTATTATCACTAGAAAGCCTCTTTGTGTAACATTTTCAAGATGTTACAGAAAGGCCTCCTTGTGAAATAGGGAATAATTATCACAGGAATTTAAAGAAGAGTAATTCACAAAGTCGTTAGAAAATAACACCTTGTTCAGCCTGAAGAGGTGTGTGGAAGGCAGAAAGAACAAGCTCCACTTCCAGTGCCTTGGTCACAGTGTTGGGGGCTAATTGCCTTCAGATACGCTTTAGTTGTTTTTGATCCCCAACCAATCTAGTTCTCCCCTAGGAGTTGTGGCTCTGAATTATTCCTCAGTGCCAAATGTTCAATTGTTCCTAAATAATGGGTGAAATGTACCCTTCACCCTTGTGAAGCCTGAAACTGGTTTACTGAACGCAAGTATTCCTAGATTTTTTTCTGTCCATTTTAGCTTTCTTAACCTACGTTAAGGAGTGCAGTGTGACATTTTGATAAAATTATTTCTAGTGAAGTGGTTCTTATAATCAAGCAAATCAACATATTCATTGTCCCATGTTGTTACCCTTTAAATACAAGTATTTCTAACGGAATCTTCAGAATCTTACAAATAGAGCCGTTTTACAAGGCAGCAAGTTTTGCCTTTTGAGCCATACATCACTGATAGCCATTTGTCTTCCGTGTCTACTTTGAACTGCTTGTTCAGTATAAACCACCTTAGAAACACAGGCGCTCCTTTAGAACGATTTTAAAGTTATAAATCCTTACAACAGGTATGCCCTCACACATCCTCGGTGTGAAAGCTCTGTTTAGTGGGTTATTTGGTTTACTCTCAGGGCAAGTTTTTAAAAACTGCAAGTCATTAAGAATGATTTAAGGAAAAATGAAACACTAAGCCTTTGTCTTTGCTATCTTTACAGATTGAATAAGAAAAGAGCAATGATCAGCACCAAGCTCCTTATGGAGAAAGAGCAGGTGAATTATTTTCTCAGCACTCTTCCTACAAGGCGAGACCCAGAGTCACCTTGTGTAGAAAATCTTTCTAGTATAGGACTCAACGGAAAATAGATTCCCCAGCTGCCCGTAAGAATTCCTACTTCCAACCCACAGACTTCAAATGACTGCAAGAACGACTTGACTGAGGTTAGTTATATGACCGTTTCTCTTTTGGGTTTCACTTCTCTAATATAATTCTTGTTTTTAATTTGGTGGAATACTGAGTTGTTCTGTTGACTTATGCATGTTAAGTAAAGATCATAATTAGCTCTGTTAACACAGAAAGGAAATGGGAATTTTATGTTTTTTAATTCCCTGGAGCTCTCATTTTCAAGAGATATCCATTTGCTAACTTTATTCAACAAATCTGACTCAACTGACATGTTTAAAATGTCTTTAAAAGCTGCATTTAAATTAGGTTTCAGAAATTGCATGTTATTGCCTGATAATTGATGATATACTTTGAGATGGTTTGGTTTACTCTCTATTTGACTGTAGTTTAGCTGTGGTTTATACCACATTTTTTTTTTTTTTTGCTTTTTTCTTTTGAGGCAGTGTCTCACTCCACCGCCCAGGTTGGAGTGTCGTGGTGCCATCTCGGCTCACTGCAACCTCCACCTCCCGAGTTCAAGCAGTTCTCCTGCCTCAGTCTCCCGAGTAGCTGAGACTACAGGCATCCGCTCTTACACTTGACTGAGGTTTGTGTTTTTAGTAGAAACAGGGTTTCACCATCTTGAGCAGGCCGTTCTTGAACTCCTGACCTTGTGATCTGCCTGCCACAGCCTCCCACAGCGCTGGGATTACAGGCATGAGTCACCGTGCCTGGCTCATGTCACTTTTAAAGTTTCTTTGCAGTGTCCAGGCATGGTGGCTCATGCCTGTAATCCCAGCACTTTGGGAGGCCAAGGCAGGTGTGTCATGATGTCAGGAGTTCAAGACCAGCCTGGCCAAGATGATGAAACTCCATCTCTACTAAAAGTTCAAAAAAAAAAAAAATTTGCCGCAAGTGGTGGTGGACACCTGTAATCCCAGCTACTAGGGAGGCTGAGAGAGAGAGTTGCTTGAATCCGGGAGGCAGAAGTTGCAGTGAGCTGAGATTGCACCACTGCACTCCAGCCTGGGTGACAGAGCGAGACTCCATCTTGAAAATAAAAAAATTTTTAAAAAGTTTATTTGCACCATCTCAACTCTTCCCACCCACAATCACAACTGAATTATTGGCATCCAAGCACTTTACCCCACATACGGATGTTTATTATATAGTAGAATCCAAAATAATTGCATTTTATGAATTACATGAAACACTAAAAAGTTCATTTCCATTTTTATGTGAAAAGCTTTGTGCTTGGCCGGGCGCGGTGGCTCACACTTGTAATCCCAACATTTTGGGAGGCCGAGGCAGGTGGATCACTTGAGGTCAGCGTTTTGAGACCAGCCTGGCCAACATAATGAAACCCATCTCTAGTAAAAATACAAAAATTAGCAAAGCATATTGGCAGGCATGTGTAATCTCAGATACTCAGGAGGCTGAAGCCAGAGAATCGCTTGAACCCAGAAGACAGAGGTTGCTGTGAGCCAACCTGTGGTGAAGTGACATCGGTGTTCAAGTGCAGAAAGGGCCCAATCTGGTCGATGAAGCACACGGCCAGCTTCTGGGTGGTACAGGCACAGTGCCACAGCTTTTGTCACTTCCTGATGTGCTCCACCAGCACTGAAGAGACAGCCTGGAGACGGGGCAAGAGGAAGGCTGAGATGGTGAGTGCCAGACTCTCCCTGGCCCTGAGCCTAACCCCAGGGTGACACTCAACCTTTGGGAGTGGGAGAGCAAGATGGACAGTTTCAAGTGCTTCACTAAGAAGTTGGACAACAGGGCACTCAGCTCATCTTCACAGCCAGTGAGTTGACATACAAGCAGGTGATAGTGACAGACTTTAAGAAAGAGCATCAGAAGGTGGCCAGTTCCTCTTCAAGCTTCAGCCAGTCCTTGGAGATGGACTAGGCCATCCACTTCACCACAGATGCTTCCACACTGTCAGTGAGCGCTTTGCCAATCATTCCAGGCAGGACCTGGACCCAGTCATGGACCTGTTAGTGCTGTCTCAGGGACACCAGGCAACATCCTGGACATCATCCATGTACACAAGGAAGCATTTACCAAAGTCACAGACAGCAGGCAACACGTGGCAGAAGAGAAGACAGAGGTGTAGAGGCGGATGACATCAGAATCACAGGAACAGGATTTATTTCGCTACTTCAGTGGAAATTCGCTGCTTCCATCCAATTTGAATGAGAGACATGAAATCACGGATGTGGCATTTCTTGCAAAAGAGAGACTATTTTTTCAAAAAGTCACCCAGGAATTGATAGATTTGAATGACTAGATATTTGATTGCGGACTGTTTCCAGTTCAAGGATACTTTCTACAGCAGAATAATAACACTTACAAAGAGCTAGTGCCAGCTATCGGTGGTAGTGCCAGGATGGTTTTGTGCTCAACTGAAATCCAGCTGAATACAGAACTGTGTAGGTAAGAGTTAATATGGTGATAGAAGAGAAACAGTAGCAAACATGAACTAAGTCATGCTACGAACGCCTGCACTACCATTGTACCTTTTGGAATGAATGAGAATGCCACTTTATTGCTTTTTGAAGTGTGAATATTGTAGTGTCTATGCTGTAGACCTCAAACCCTATAAAGAGTCTCAAGGAAGTTGACTGCATAAAGTCCGCTGTGGAAGTCTTGATACTCAAAGATTGATGATACAATTCGAATATGTGTCCCCACGAAATCTCATATTTAATTATATTTCTTAATGTGGAAGGTGGATCCTGGTATAAGGTGATTGAATTATGAAGGCGAATTTCTCATGAATGGTTCGGCACCATCCCCTTGTACCATCTTCACAATCACGAGTGACCTCTCGTGAGACCTGGTCACTGAAAAGTCTATGTCACCTCCCTACTCTCCGTGTTTTCTTCTTGCTATGTGAGACAACTCACTCTTTCTTTGCCTTGCATGAAGATTGAGAGATTTCTGAGGACTCCCTGAAGTGGAAGCCACTGTGCTTTCTGTACACCCTGCAGAGTCATGAGCCAATTAAACCTCTTTTTCTTTCTTTTTTTTTTTATTATACTTTAAGTTCTAGGGTACATGTGCATAATGTGCAGGTTTGTTACATATGTATACTTGTGCCATGTTGGTGTGCTGCACCCATCAACTCGTCAGCACCCGTCAACTCATCATTAAACCTCTTTTTCAAAATAAATCATACAGAAAGTGGCAAATGAGGATGGGAGCACTGCTATAAAGCTACCCGGGAATGTGGAAGCAGCTTTGGAACCAGGTACTGGGCAGAGGTTGGAAGAGTTTGGAGGCCTCAAAAAAAGATAGACGAGAAAATTTTTGGAGTGTCTTAGGGACTGGTTAAGTGGTTGTGACAAAATTCCTGACAGAAACATGGACAGCGAAGGCCAGGCTGAGGAGGTCTCAGATAGAAATAAACTTTCTGGAAAATGTCTTCCTTTTGGATATGGAAAGCTTCCACCATGCCTGTACCATCATTATACCTTAGAAGGAGTGAACTTGCTTTTTATTTCAGAGGCTCATAGGCGAAAGAGGCTATAACCTTGACTCAGATGAGGCTTTGGACTTTGTAACTTTGAGTTAATGCTGAAATGAGTTAAGACTCATGCTGGCAAGGCATGATTGTATTTTGCAATGTGAGAAGGACATGACGTTTGTGGGGTCAGGGACAGAATAATATGGTTTGTCTCTATGTCCCCATCAAAACCCATGTGGAAAAAACACCATGTGGAGGCCTAGGTGGAAAAAGGTTTAGTCAGAAAAGGGTGGGGGGTGGATCCTTCATGAATGATAAAGCTCCTTGACGCTGTCCTCCTGATGGTGAGTTCTCACGAGATCTGGTTGTTTAGAAGGCTGTGGAACCTCTTTCCTCACTCTGTCTTGCTCCTACTCCTGCCTTAGGAGACAGCTCATTATGCCTTGGCTTTCTGGTATGATTAGGAGGCTTCCTGATTCCTCCCAGAAACAATAAAGACACTTTGCTTCCTTCACAGCTTGCAGAACCATGAGTCAATTAAATATCTTTTATTTGCAATAATACAGAAAATTAGAACTGCAGAGAGAGCTGTGAAATGCCTTCAAGGCTTTTTTTCCTTCATCTTGGCTATTAGCACAGGGCTTCTTGATATGCAAATTTCTGAAACCTTGAATTTTTCCCCTTAAATGGGGTTTTGTGTTATTGCTACATAGCCAACCTGCTATACAGATACCTGACAAAGTAGAAGCAGGCTCAGTAGTGGCTAGCAAACATTGGAAGGGTTTGGAGGCATTAGAGCAGGATATAAAGTTGAGGGAGAGGGAGGGAGTGATTTAATCATGGATAGCGGGGTGGGTGTAGAAGGAAAAAGGGGGGGTGTTTAGGGTGGGAAGGAGTAGGTTGGCTGTAGGTTGGCTGTAGGGTGGTGGGTAGTAGGAAGTGGGAGTAGCCTTCTGCAGAGGCAGAGCCTCATGGAAAAGTCCTCCTAGGGCAATGCACCTGTGGCTTTGCAGGTTTGAGCCCCCATGGCTGCTCTCATGGACTGGGCTAGTGTTGAGTGCCTGTAGCTTTTCCACCCTGAGGGTGCAAGCTGTTCGTTGGTCTATGAATCTGTGGTCTGGAGGGTGGTAGTCCCCTTCGTGGGGGCTCCAAGTCCATGTTTTCCTTCTGCACTTCCCTAGTAGAGGCTTCCCAGGAACTCTGCCTCTGCAGCAGTTTTCTGCCTGGAAACATTGGGAGGTGGGGGTGGGAGGCATATCCTTCACCAATGGTTAAGCACTATCTTCTTGACGCTGTCCTCATGATAGCACGTTCTCATGAGATCTGGTTATATAACAGGGTGTGGCACCTCTTTCCTCTCTTAGTCTTTCTTCTACTCCTGCCACAAGAAACATCTCCTTGCCCCTTGACTTTCTGGTATGGTTGTGAGGCTTCCTGAGTCTTCCCAGAAGCTGAAGCCACCGTGCTTCCTTTACAGCCTGCAGATTTAATTGGCTCATCTAATATGAGCCAATGAAACCTCTTTTCTTTATGATCATACAGAAAATTAGTATATGAAGTGGAGCTATGAAATGCCTTCAAGGCCCT